AAGGGAGCTGAGAACAGATGGTCAAGGAATTACCTGTACACAAATGTTCATAGAAGTACTATTCACAATAGCCAAAAGGTGGAAACAGCTCGAATGCCAATCAACTCGTAAGTGGATAAACAAAATTTGGTATGTCCACACAATGGTTATTAGTCAGCCATAAAAGAAATAAAGTAATGACACCAGCTATAATATAAGTGACCCTTGAGACATCACACTCTGTGAAAGAAAAGCCACACATTATGATCTCATTCATAGGTAATGTTCAAAACATGGTAGTCTATAGACACTGAAGTAAATGAGTGGTTTCTTGGGGCTGGGGTAGGGAGCTGTGAGGGAATAGGAGAGTGACCGCTAAATGGTTTAGGGTTACTTTCTGAAGTCATGAAAATGTCCTAAAGTGGACTGCGGTGTTGGTTGCACATTTCTGTGAATACACCAAAAACCACTGAAATGTACACTTTGAATGGGTGAGTTGTATGATATGTAAATAATCAACAGAGCTGCTTAAAAAACATAAATAGCCCTGGCCGGTTTGGCTTAGCGGTTGGAGCGTCGGCCTGTGGTCCAGAGAGACCCGGGTTCGGTTCCTGCTAAGGGCACGTACCTCGGTTGCAGTTTGTCCCCGGCCCTGGTTGGTCGTGCGGGTGGCAGCCACTCGATGTGTCCCTTCACGTCAATGTTTCTCTCTCTCTCTCTTCCTCTCTCTCCCTCCCGCTCTATCTGAACAAAAAATGGAAAAATGTCCTCGGGTGAGGATAAAAATAAATAAATAAATAAATAAAATAAAAAACATAAATAGCGTGATATTTCCTGTCTTCCTAAGAAAAATATCTAGGTACTAAACAAGAATGCCTGTTACCTCAATCTCAGTCAAATGACACTAGGTCCTTGCCACTGGAAAACAACTTCTCAAGAACTATAAAACAGAAGCGCGCCTTCATGCATACCTCCAAGGACGGTGCGCGGCAAACCCCAACAGGGCAGACAGGCAGTCCTAGAATAAGATCTTTAGCAAGATACCCAGATAAAAACACAATAGAAAAAGAATGTCTTATGCATCTACATAGTAGCAAGTGAGTTGAAAAATTAATTTTAAAAATCTAATATATATGATGGTAAAATCCATAGTTATATAAGTACTTAATCAGTCAAGTGAAGGATATTAAAAGCTCTCAGTGGAAAAATTCAGATTTTATTGGGTAATATCAAAGAAGAATAAAGTAAATAGAAATATGACACACTCTCAGGATAATGTCACATTTCCCAAAATAGACTTAGTCTATAAAATTCCATGATAGCTCCAAAGGAGACTTTTTAGGACTTAATAAAAACTATTGTCCAAACCTAGTAAGGAGAGCAAACATCTAAAAATAGGCCACCCAGCCCTGGCCGGGTGTTTCAGTGGACAGAGTGTCAGCCCGGGCACGGAAGGGTTGCAGGTTCAATCCCCGGCCCAGGTCTGGGCGAATGTAGGAGCCAACCAATTGATGTCTCTCTCTCACATGGATGTCTCTTTCTCTCTCTCTCCCCCTGCCCCTTCTGTCCATCCATGCCACTGTCTCTAAAAAAATAAATGAAAAAAAATATCCTCTAGTGAGGATTAACAAAAACAAAAAAATAAAATAAAATAAAAATAGCCCACCCCAATTTTCAGCAGAACAAGATGAAGGTGTTCCTAATAGAGGGCAAAGATTTTAAAACTACTATATTAACCCAGACAATAGGGTATTAGCAAAAGGATGGACTGATAAGTGAGTGGGAAAGAATGGATGTCTCTGGGGAATAACAATAAACCATGAAAACACAAAGCTTCTGGAAAAGTTGCATAGGGGACAGTTAACTGATGACCTTAGGAGTGGAGGAGGGGGGCTGCCCTTGGGAAGGAAGAGAGGGACTTGGCATTTTAGGGATTTAGCTCCAGCCACAGGAAGACCTAGACTGGGAAGGGCAGTCTTGTGGGTCTGGGCTGTCAGCCTCTGGGGTCTGATGCTATCTCCAGGTAGATAGTGTCAGAACAACAGATTGTAGGACATCTGGCTGGTGTCACAGAATTGCTTGTTGTATGGAAATTCTCCTTTATCTGGTGACCAAATGTGTCAGAAGTGAAGTGTTCTGTGTGAAAGTAAAGGAGAAAGACAGAAGGACAACTGTAGGCTTTTCCAGTACAATGTCTAATGAAGGAGTGATTATAATGAAAAATTATAAAACGTACTCATTGACATCAAAGTACAAAGAAAGCCATGGAAAAGATGGTGCATGTTCTCTGAATGGAAACTCAATGCCACTATGATAGCAATTCTCCCAAACAGATATAGAATTTAAAAAAAAATAATTTTTCTTTATTGATTTTAGAATCAGTGCCCTGACCAGAAATCAAACCAGCGACCTCTTGGTGCATGGGTCGACGCTCAACCACTGAGCCACCCCAGCTGGGCCAGATGTAGAGTTTTAATAAACTTCCATTAACTCTAAAACCAGTGGGTTTTCTTTGTTTGTTTTTTAATTTATGAAAAACTACTTGTTAAAACTACAATGACAGGCAACTGTCTAAAGTGCTATGTTTCTACAGAACATGTTGGAAGGACTTTCCCAGAAACACATGAAACCATTTAAGTCACAACAGTAACTGGGACACAGTGCAGCAGGAGGGACCTATGGCTAAGGATGGAAGTCAATGACACAGGTCTATTTGTGGGGCGTGAATCTCTGCCAGAGCAGGCACTGCCCCAAGGATGGGAAAACCATGGACATTTTCAAAAGCGGAATGAGAAATAGTTATCCACAGGGGACAATGAAGGTCTTTTTACTGACTTGATGTCACACAACCAACTTGATGCAAATTTAAATAGTAGGACATTTACAGAACAAGTTCAAGTCAAGTGTTCTATGACTTCCCGGTACAGAGAGTTTTCTGATATAAAGGGAAAAAAGAATAAGCTACAATGGAAGAGATGGGAAAAATCATTTCTGTTAACATGAAGGCTCTTATTCACCAGCATAGAATAAAGAGAGTGAAAAGGTAAACCATACTCCAGAGAAAACTACAGTATCTGCAAATAAAACAGGATTCCTGCCCAGAGTATCTAAAAAAAAAAAAAATCAGAAATCCATAAACACAGAAATCAATAAAAAGTGACCAATGGTTTAAAATTATTTCACAGAATATGAAACAACATGACCTGACTTAGTGGTGATCAGTAAAATTCATATGTCACCACAAGGATATCCTGGGTCACATCCTGGACAAAAACTGTTAGGCAATTTAAGTGGAAACCACATGAAAGAAATGAACTCATAGGAATGAGAGGTGGGGGAGGAGGGCATCAATTCCTGACCAGCTATTAACAGCAAGTGGGACAGGATCACACTGTGACACAAACTCTGCACCCTGAATGGAAGAGTCACTACCATTTTTATGAATATTTTAATCCTCATCTCCATCCACATCTCATGAAAGTATGGAACTGTGCATTTTCCCTGAAATTCTTCTAGAAGAGAGGACATTTTCCGTACGGAGGAGACAATTTCCCCCAGAGGCTTCTCTGGTTCAGCCCCATAATAACAGAAGTCAACAGGACAATGACCTGAGACCCTTACTACCCTCACTAAGGAGAAGAAGAGGCAAAAGAAAAAAAAAAAAAAAAGCAGTCATTCTACATCTGCTGGAACCTGAGGCTGACATAAAAGAAAGCTTAGTGCTGAGTTGGACACAGGCTGCTCACATGTGTCAGGCGACAAAGCTGAATTCTCCGGGAGACCTGTGCTCCCGTAACATCCATGGAAGGTGTAAAGAAACACTACCCCCAACCCCACCCCATTCATTTGTTCTGGGCAAAGGCATGCCACAAGAACCCCCTTCCACTTGTTTATCCAGGACAAGGCTGGATGCAGACACCCCAAAATCCCCTTCTGTGCCTCATCATTGATTAGCTAAACTTTTCATTTCCACTGACCAAACAGCAAATGCTTGTCCAGACTTTGATTCAGCTTTTCTCCTACTCCCAGACCACTGCACTTTGGTCTGTTCTCAGCCCAAGCTGGTACACAGCAGCCCTCCTGAAGACAGGCTGGCCTCATGTGGATTGCGCTCTAAAAAAACAACAATAAAACGACTTGGCCCAACTCCTGAAAGGCTTGGAGATGGTATGGTCACAGCTCCTGTCCCCAGTGCACAGCCCCTTCTCCCTACCCCTTGCAATAACTCTTTGAAAAGTCTATTCTTAGGAAGTTAGGATTTTTCACCCTGGCCGGTTTGGCTCAGCGGTTAGGGCATCAGCCCACGGACTGGAGAGTCCTAGGTTCCTTCCCGGGGTCCTACCTTGGTTGCAGTTTGTTCCCAGCCCCTTTGGGGTCGTGTGGGTGGCAACCATTGGATGTTTCTCTCTCCCTGCCTCTCTCCCTCCCGATCTATCTAAGGATAAATGCAAAAATGACCTCGAGTGAGGATAAAAAAAGTTAGGATTTTTCATTTTTTACATGCTTCACCAAATGATCGCAATTGCCCATTACATACCCAAACTTAATTCAGCCTCCTGTCTTCCTCACGGGCCAGCCCCCCACCCCCCAAATCCATCCCCATTGGATGAAGACAAGGCCCTGCTGACCTGAGCCCATAGTGGGCTGACCACAGGGAGGCCAGTTCCCGCCACACCGGCTTCCTGCTTACCCTCCCACTGGAAGGAAAAGCCCTTTTCTCTCTGATGTGAGACGAGGGCGCCGCTCTGAGATCCGAGTACTGTCCCTAATGCAACAGGCTTTGCAATAAAGTCTCCTTAACCTTGTCGGGATCCAGTCCCACCAACCCCGCGTGCAACCCCCCACTCAGCCCCGAGGCCCCGACCACCAGCGACGTTGTATGTCCCGCTCTCCCCCGATCCTCTGCCTCGCCAAGGACTCGGGTTGGGACACCATGCGGCGCGGAGGCCGCCCCCTTCACTTCCGCGCCGGTTTGAATCAATCTCCCCACCCGGAACTCCAACCCCACGAAATCACCGTACTGTCCGCTTGGGGTCCTGGCGTGGTCATGGGGACCCCCGGCAGGCTCTGCAACACCTGCCTCACAAAAGCCAGAGAGAGCTGTTCACTCCGGCTGCGAGCCCGCCCACCACGACCAGCATTGGACGGTTGTCCAGACGATTCACCCTGAATGGACAGTGGTCCAGGCACACCTCCTCCCGGGAATGCTGATTGGTCCAGACACTTCTTTTTCTTCGGGAATGCTGATTGGACGATGATACCAGCATCTCTCCAATAAACCAGTCTCCCGACCTCCACGCCCACCTTATTATCCCTGGTCCCGCTCCCTGGTCTCTCACTGGACTGTGCTGTAGACCTCTGGAGCCTGAGTGCTGGGCGGGGATGAAGGTCCCGAAATCGAAGCGGTGGAAATGCCGGTTCTCTGCTTCAGCCCTTCCCTGCCTGACTTCCACCCGCCCAACATGGGAATCTGAGCTGTAACAGCTCACCTGGCTGTCGTGGTACAAGAAAAATATAATCTTTTCTAGTTAGGTGTGACCAAACTACTCTGTTTCCAAGCAAGTCACCATTCTGTGAGATTTTCAATCCCACTACTCTGAAATACTTCAAATACCAACCTCTCCCCAATCACCCTACTCCACTTGAATTAGTCAACCGCGTGGGACTGTGAAACCACACTCTAGCCCAGCGGAGTAAGGTGCAGGACCGCATCAGGGATAAAAACAGCGGACTTCCTGCTCAGCATGTGCTTTACAAATTCTTTTGTTTGGTGTGCACCCTTCTGCAGAAGTAAAGTTTCCCTTTCCGAGCCATTTTCGAGTTCCTGTTTCATTCCCGCGACACCGCCAGAGAGCATTTCCAACAGTGGCGACTCGGCGCATCAGGGCGCCCTGTCCTGTCCTCCTATAACAGGAAGTACTGACTCAGTTTTCCCGCATGACGTCCTTTGTCCAGACCTGGGGCAGGACAACATGTCTTGCATCTATCTTCAGATACAATGGGAGGAAGAGAGGGAGGAAGAGAGAGAGAGAAACACAGATGCGAGAGAGACACATCGTGATTGCCCCCCACACAACCCCAACCTGGGCCGGGGACAAACTGCAACCGAGGCACGTGCCCTTAGCGGGAACCAAACCAGGGACTCTCTGGTCCGCAGGCTGACGCTTTAACCACTGAACCAAACCAGCCAGGGCTAATTTTCTCTTTTAGAAAGACAAAGTTGCCCTGGCCAGTTTGGCTCAACGGTTAGAGTGTCAGCCTGCGGACCAGAGAGACCTGGGTTCAGTTCCCACTAAGGGCACGTGCCTCAGTTACAATTTGTCCCCGGCCAGGTTGGGGTCATGTGGGTTGCAACCACTCCATGTGTCTCTCACATTGATGTTTCTCTCTATTTCTTCCCCCTTCTCTCCCTCCGCTCTATCTGAAGATAAATGCAAAAATGTCCTTCGGTAAAAAAAAAAAAAAAAGCTACAGTAGTGTAGTGATGCTGGTGCAGCAAAGTCCCCCAAAAGTGGATCTTGGGACTTCCTCTAGTGTATAAGGAGAGCAGAGCGGGAGACTGGACCAGAGGCCAAACTTGGGATCTGACAAGATGGCCAGGCTGCCCCATAGGAGTGTTAAGGAAACCCAGCGTTTAATGGCAGAATCAATTCCCGACATTAAAGCAGAACCAGATGAGCCCAACTCATTGCTGGCCCCCAGGATTCCCACTTGGAGGGTGGGCCTTTTCAACTTGAACTATTTCTTCCAGAAGAATACCCTATGGCAGCCCCTAAAAGTACATTTCATGACCAAATTTTTCATCCTAAAGTAGACAAATTGGGAAGAATATGTTTGGACATTTTGAAAGATATGTGGTCCCAGGGGATCTGCACAGTTTTGCTATCCATCCAGTCTCTGTTAAGTGCTCCCAATCTAGATGATCCATTCGCAAATGACATAGCCGAGCAGTGGAAGACCAGCAAAGCCCAAGCCATAGAAACAGCTGGAGAATGGACTAGGCTCTATGGCGTGAATAATATTTACATCTATCTGATTGTCCAATGTGTATCACTTCTGTTCTGCCAAGACTTCTTTCTTTTTTGTCTGCATTTAATGGACACAGTCTTAGAAACATTACAGAATAAAAGCCCAGACATCTTCAGTCCTTTGGTGATTAAGTGCACATTAGCACCTATGTAATTTTATTAACCAGTGTCACACCAATACATTCCATTAAAAAAATAAATGCACATTCGCAAATCTATCTTGTTCCCATTCACAGTTGTGAAGCATGAGCAGAGGCTAGAAGCTAGAAGTATCATCTGGATTGTTTCAAAGCATTTAAAAGCTGTGGCCCCAACTCTTAACACTGGAAAAAAAAAAAAGCTGTGGCCCCTTTCTACTTTTATTCTTTCTCCCCATCATGGTGTAAGTATAAACCACTATGAATAAAGGCAGTTGTCAAGGTTAGGTGCAGAGGTGTGTGTTTTTCTTTATTTTATTATTTTTTTGAGGGCGTTAGTTTTATTTTAATTTTATGAGCTCCTTTACCCCTTTTTATGATGATCTAGTTGCATTGGTTAAAAGAAGCTAACTAGTTCTTTAGAATATGCTCTCTGACCAAGTCTAACTTTATTTAGACACTGTAGATGGACAAGCTTGCTTGTTTGAACCAAAATGGGAACATTAAACTAACATCACAGCCCTCACTAGTAACACTGTTACTTGGCTGTCAAATGTAGATTCCTCCCTTCAAGAAAAAGCCTGTGACCATTAGTATGGTTTGTCTGAAAACTTCTGCAAATCTTATGTTTTAGTACATATGTTTTGTCATTCTACTTTGCCTTTGTAAAGTTTATTTTACTGTGTCACATTTTCCCAATGTGACAATTGTATTTAAAAATTAAAACTGGTGGCCCGGCCAGTGTGGCTCAGTGGATTGAGCATCATCCTGTGGACTGAGAGGTCTGGGTTTGATTCCAGGTCAGGGCACATGGCTGATTTTTGAGCTCGATCCCCAGTAGGGGGCGTGCAGGAAGCAGCTGATGGATGTTTCTCTCTCACATTGATCGATCTCTCTCTCTCTCTCTCTCTCTCTCTAAAAAATCAGTAAAAACACATTAAAACTGATGAAACATTCTTTTTTGGTCTTTACCATCTGACAAAATTGAATGGCAAGAGGTGGATGCCAGTTTCTTTTTACTAATGCAAATTCTTGTTAAGACATCACTAAATGGAGTATTTTTAAGCTGGCCCTGAGCATGCATAAAGGATCCATATCTAACATTTTATTTACCTCCTAGAAATTTGAAATATTTTTGTGTTGTCTGATTAGCTAGATGAGCATTGGTGTCTTGCCACGTTTGAAAATTACTCGTACACGAGAGTCACAACTGCACTTATGACTGTGTGTAGGACTTTCATATTAGGCCACATTTGAGACAGGTATTTGAATTATGACCCTTTTCTTGGTTCTTGTCTGAAAACTTCATGTGTGACCAGTTACGTGCGCTATTAGGAAACACCAATCTGATAATCATTTGGGGTTTGCTGAGGCATTTGTGAATCTTCCTTATAGATCCAATGAGCAAATCTCAAGCTGCCAGCTTGTATAAGTGTCATCATAAAGGCTCCTTCATTTGAAAGCGTCAAATTCTCAATTACTGATTCTTATTTTTATCCCTTTGGTATTTGCTATGGGAACTTCTTTTATTCTTTAATTTGATATTCAGTGATTTTTTTCTGCATTGACAGAGTTCTTTCCTGCACAAAATGTTCTTTCCCAACCCTCTCTGTATCTATTTCCTGATTGTTATTATTTTTTTAATCCTCACCCGAGGATATTTTTTTTCTTTTCTTTTTTTTTACAGATAGAGCAGGAATAGAGGATGAGGGGTATTGTGGGGAGAGAGAGAGAGAGATCGATGTGATAGAGCCACATCAACTGGTTGCCTCCTGCACGACCCCAATCAGGGCCAGGGACAAACTGCAACTGAGGTGCGTGCCCTTGACTGGAATCGAACCCGCAACTCATTGGTCTGCAGGTGGGTGCTCTAACCGCTCAGCTAAACAGGTCAGGGCTGATTGTCATTAAATTTAAGTCGTCATTGTAGCCAGTACATAAGTGTTAACCTGCTGGTTGGAATTCTTCTCTTGCAGTTTCAATGTAATGGATATTGTAGCCCATCTGATTTTCCTCCAATCTTAATCTCCTAACTTTGGAGTTTGTTCAGAATGTGGTGCATTTTGTTGTGCTCCTATAATTATCTATTAAAATTATGTTTTTATACATAAAAATGCTAAACTCTCTTTAGGGTATATTGTATGAAATTTCTAAAAATCTGATATGTCCTTGTATGCTATCAGTTGAAATTTTAAAATGTTACAGAAATAACCAAATTTCCTTGCCAATTGCATTAAATGCCCTGTCATCAGATTTTGGCTATTTCTAAGTCTTTTAAAATTTGTAGACAGTTACTGTTTCACTCTGATATTTAGACAAAAAGTGTTCCTGCAACAGTGGTCCATCTTCAGGGAGATTCATGGAGCGACTTTGACAAATACAGGCTTCTGATAATTAAGGTCAGTTTGCCTTCACGTGGGAGGGACAATACTACACTACACCTTTCAAGTGCTTCCCCAAGGCTCCCTGCACAACCCCACAATGGGCCTATCCCGATCTTGCCCACATCAGTACAATGGGCCCATAACACTGAAGATATCATGTGAACATGCGAAGATAGGCCTCTGTTGCAGGGCACTACAAGCTTTGCTGGAACATCTGGGAGGAGGAAGAAGGGCTATGAACCCACAGAAAATTTAAGGCCCAGGCACCGCCCTGAGGTTTGGGTGTGGGATCTGTGCTGCCCAGAGGCTGTGTTTGATAAGGTGCAAGTCTATCCAGACCAAGAATGTGAAAAGGGTGCAAGTCTTCAGAGACTTGAGGTTTGGGCGGACTTTTATTCCTCACCTGTCACAGTGCCTCTATTCCTTATGCCACCTAGTAAAGAAAGAGTACACGTGGGACAAGGAATCAGAGTAGCAAGCCACCTTTGAGAAGAAAAACAATACTGGTGAAGCTGATTAAGGCTCTGGGTATCTTGCAAGCAGGGCCACCGTTCCACTTTTCTATGACTCCAGAAGGTGTGGGCCAGGCACTGTGGCAAAGATAGGAGACAGTATCCTTTGGATGGGTCCCAGCTCTGGAGGGGAGAGAAACCTGACATATGTCCACAGAGGAACAGCTCCTAGTAGTGGCCACAGTGCTCCTCCAGGTGGAGCCTCCCACAAAGGAGTGAAGCACAGCATTCACTGGGCAGAAGGCAGAGCTATCTGGCTGGTGATTCATCAAGGTCTCTGGAAACTTGCTCACCCTTTGCACTGACAACTGGGTTGCATTAAAGGGATTAGTCCAGTGGTTTGGACAATGGGAAGCTGAGGGGTGGATGATCACGAGTGTGACTTGTGGGGTCAGGATGCATAGAAACACAATTGGGTTCACCTGCAAGAGCCTGAGGCAGCCCTCACTGTCTTCCATATCCAGATTCATGAGGCACTGACACCCCCTTGCCATCAGGAAGGGGATGCCCTGGACCAGGTATGAGCTCTAGCAGCCGACCCTTCAGTAGATACAGCAGATTGGGTGCTTGAAAGGGTGGCCATGCTCGGCTGGTGTGGCTCAGTGGTTGAGCGTCAACCCATGCACCAAGAGGTCTCTGGTCCAATTCCAAGTCAGAGCACATGCCCGGGTTTTGGGTTCAATCCCCAGTGGGGGTTGTGCAGGAGGCAGCCAATCGATGTTTCTCTCTCATTGATGTTTCCATCTCTCTCTCCCTCTCCTTTCTTCTTTCTCTAAAAAAAATAAATAAAAACATATTTAAAATAATAAGAAGAAAAGGGTGGCCACCAAGGTGCCCAGGTGGAATGGCATTTTGCTATGAATGCCTACTGCCTTTGAACTACAGAGACTTAACTAACACAGTAACACATTTCCTGTGTGTCCTAAACAATACCCTAGGCAACTGCCAAAGGAGTCTTGGTCCAAGTACCAGAGTTCCCAACTGGAGAGATGGGCAAATTGATGTATCAGGTCCCATGCTACTAATGAGTGTTCTAAATATGCCTGGACTTGTGTGGACACTGCATCTAACCAAACCCACGCTTTCCTCTGAAGCCACACAAACCAGAATGCCATCATTAGGGAGTGGAAGAAGCTGAACCATGTACAAATACCTCTGTTGACTAGACAGTGACTAGGGGTCACATTTCAAAGGTGATGACATGAAAGACTAGTAAAAGAACATGATATTGAAAGAACATGATATTGAAAGGTTCCATTCTATAACCAATAAGCCACAAGGCCACTAGAAAAAAAAAAAAAGGAATGTTGAAGCAGCTGTTTAACAGTAGCACCAGTTTTCCATGTGGACTCAAGTATTGTCCTATGATTTAATACACTTGAATGACCAACCAGTAGGGTCTGTAGCTGCAGTGACCTGATGGAGGCCACGGAGCTACAGTATAAACCTGAAGATCTAAGAGGGTTCATGACCCTGGGGAACAGTCTGTGGAGTCTTCTGCTTAAGAGGGGCTGTTCCAGATGGGCCGAGCAAGAACTCAGAAGAAGGTGCTGTAACTCAGGCCCATGCACCTGTCTCCTGATAGTAGAGAAGAACTGAGAGTCACAGATTCTTCAATTCTGCCTTCCAAGCCTCATGCATCTTCCTTTTCTTGTGACCTTTATCCCAGAACCATAAACAGGACAATGGGACGTGATTTTCTACCTCACCTAGGCTGACCACACAATTCAGTGAAGCCATCTGCACACCAACTTTTATCTTCATGCCACAAGGTCTGTTTTGTTTTTTTCTTTAACTCAATGCATTGTGTCCCATTTCCAACCAAGACCAAGGACAATGAGCAGAGGTCAAATTATGAACATGATCAGATGAGACTGTCTTCTTCTAAGATCTTTCCATAATCTCTAATTTCTGTGAAGAACACGTGTGGCATCTACTGGCAACAAATGCGGAAGATATGTTTTTCAGTAATAAAGACTGAAGAGGAGCAGAAATTGAGCCAGAAAATTCCAGTATTTGCAGCAGTATACCAGAAAAGAAATTTCAGCAGTACAGGACTCATATCATGATCACATACTTGGAACATAATGGAAAGTATCAAAAATACTTTTAACTAAACTATATCAAGTTGCACATGAAAAAAGAAAACAAAAAAACAAAAACACCATTTGTCACACTGAGTCAAAAAACATTATAATGAGCCCTGGCCTGTTTGGCTCAGCAGTTGGAGCATCAACCTGCAGACAAGAGAGTACTGGGTTTGGTTCCCGCTAGGGGCACATACCAAAAAAAAAAAAAAGACATTATAATGTAAGTGAGACAAGTTTCATATACTGTACAATTAATTAAAATCAAATATAGCAAAATGTATGCAGTACAGATGAAGGGAACACAGAGGGGTAATTATATCTTAAGTGTTCATATCAGTAACATGAACTAGGAATTAACACACAGGGATCCCTCTTCAGGATGAGGCACTTATAAGGAAAACCGTATTTGTAACAAAAATTTTCTATACTGCCCTGAGTTTTCATGCACAACATAAGATCTAAAAACTTCCCACCTACTTTCCACTCATAGTTTCTTTCTCTCCAGTGTTTCCTCACAAAGTTTTACAAAAAAATAAATACAGTCCCTGAATTCAGAGCTTCTGTCCAGTGTGTGTCCTCCCATGTCTTCGCAAGGACGCATAATGCCTGAAGGCTTCACCACATTTCTGACATTCATAGGGTTTCTCCCCTGTGTGCATTCGCATGTGTCTTTGCAGGGATGAGGGACACCTGAACGCTTTCTCACACTCCATACATCCATAGGGCTTCTCTTCACTGTGTGTTCTCACATGCTCTCGAAGGGATGAGGAATAATGGAAGGCTTTCCCACATTCTGTACATTCATAGCGTTTCCTTTCACTGTGTGTTTTCACATGTTTTCTAAAGTATTTGGGACAATGGAAGCCTCTCCCACATTCCTTACATTCATACGGTTTCTCCCCAGTGTGCATCCTCTCATGTGATCGCAGGGATGACAGGTGCCGGAAGGCTTTGCCACACTGCTGACATTCATAAGGTCTATCTCCAGTGTGTGCCTTCACGTGTTCTCGAAGGTAGGAGTAAAATCGAAAAGCTTTTCCACAGTGCTGACATTCATAGGGTTTCTCCCCAGTGTGCATTCTCACGTGTTCTCGTAGGTAGGAGTTACAGCTGAAGGCTTTCCCACATTCCTTACATTCATAGGGCTTCTCTCCAGTGTGAGTTCTTACATGTCGTTTAAGGTGACATCCATACATAAAGGCTTTCCCACACACTTTACACGTGTGGATTTTCTGTCCACACTGACATCTCACATGTCCCCGAAAGGCTGAGTGGCAAGTGAAAGCTTTTCCACATTTCTTACACTGAAAAGAGTTTTTACCACTCAGACTCTGCACATCTCTCTTTGATGCGCCCCCAGTATCCTGACATGGATGGGGTTTCTCCACAAGGCCAGTTTCCACATGACTGCTTAAGCATGAGACACACCTACATGCTTGCCCACATTCCTCACACAGATGAGGTTTGTGTCCAGTGGGAGATCTTTGCTGATTCTTTAGGAAACAATGATCCGTGAAGCTTTTTTCACACTTAGTGCATTCATAGGGTCTAGCTCCAGTCAGATGTCTCTCATGCACAGGAAGATCTGTGGTCTGGGCATCTCCACATTGATTACCTTCATTCCTCCCACAGGGAGTCTCCACAGAATGACTTCTGTTCAAAAGAAATAGTACATAATTAGAGATCTAATTATAAGGAACTTCTCTGTTCATAATTTATAGGTGGTGTAAATGGTTACTGTGAGTATATATTTACCATCTCCAACAAATGGGTGTGTTTTCCACACTGTCTGCACTGTTCCAACATGGAACCAGCTTAAAGCTCTGGCTGAGCTCAAACAGAGCAATAATGTTCGGTGCTTCTTACATCTGGGGTTTCCTTATCATTGTTTCCAACTGAATTCTGCACAGACACTCAATATCTACATCATATTTATGAAATATTGTCTGGTGATCAATTATGTTCTCTAAGAACATAATTGTTTAGCTAGTTTTACTCTTTTTCTTTCATTTCAAGTTAGTCTCTCTGCCAATAACTCCCTTCCTCCTGTGGGAATGCCACTCACCTCAAATGTCTTTCCCGGGTTTGGTTCTCATATATGATATTATGAAATGTCCATGTTTCTCCAAAAACAGACCAGGAATCATTTCTTGTGAATCTTACTATATTGTCTTCACTGGATATTTCAGTCTCTAAGTTTTCCCGCGTAGGGCTTGATCCACTGGTTTTGACTTGAGTGCAACAAGCTGCAACAATGGACAGTACATGGGCATATCACGTTTTATTGAACTTTGCTTGACTGTGTTATGCAGATACCACCTTTTTTAACAAACTGGAGGCAAAATCCTCTGCCAGCAAAAAGACTGGGACTCGCTGAAGGCTTGGATAATAGTTAGCATTTGGTAGCAATACAGTATTTTATTTTATTTTATTTTATTTATTTATTTATTTATTTATTTATTTATTTATTTATCCATCCTCACCCGAGGACCTTTTTCCATTTTTTGTTCAGATAGAGTGGGGGTGGGGGAGAGAAACATTGATGTGAAAGGGACACATCGAGTGGCTGCCACCCACACAACCTAACCAGGGCCGGGGATAAACTGCAACCGAGGTATGTGCCCTTAGGGGGAACCGAACCTGGGTCTCTCTGGACCGCAGGCCGACGCTCTAACCACTGAGAAACTGGCCAGGGCACAATACAGTATTTTAAACTGAGGCATCTAGGTTCTTTTTAGACTTAATGCCATTGTACACTTAATAGACTACAGTATAGTATACATTTAACTCTTTTTTTAAAATCCTCACATAAGGACATGCTCATTGATTTTAGAAAGAGGGGAAGAGATAGAGGAAGAGATGTGAGAGAGAAACATCGATCAGTTGCCTTTCCATACGTGCCCCAGCCTTTTGATGTACAGAATGACGCTCCAACCAACTGAGCCACACAGGCCAGGGATAAATTTAACTTTTATATACACTGTGAAACCAAAATGTTTGTGTGACTTATTTTATTGTGATATTGGCTTTCTTGTGGCAGTCTGGAACCAAACCTACAATATCTCGAGGTAAACCAGTAATTTAATTTTTTGAGAAGAAGATAAAGAAAATAGACCACTTGTAAATTTATTTCATGTACTGATCCAAAAATGTGTAAACAAATTCTACAAGGAAGAATGGGTATGTAAGGAAAGAAATAATCTGAGACCTCGGCTATTTGGGCAATATTCGGGGAAATGGATCAAAATGGCATCTTGTTCACTAAGAAATACGTCAGCCCTGGCCAGTGTGGCTCAGTTGTTTGGGTGTTATTTCATGCACCAAAAGGTTGCCAATTCAATTCCCAGTCAGGGTACATGCCTGGATTGTGGGCTAGATCCATGGGAGGGGGCATGTAGGAAGCAGCCAATGGATGTTTTGTTTTCTCCCTTTCTTTTTCTCTCTAAAAATCAATTTAAAAAAATTTTTTTAAAGGAATACTTCAGCTCTGGCTGGTTTAGCTCAGAGGATAGAGCATTGGTCCACGGACTAATGAGTTGTGGGTTCGATTCCAGTCAAAGGCACATACCTGGGTTGTGGTTGGTCCCGGCCCTGGTCAGGGTCATGCAGGAGGCAACCAGTTGATGTATCTCTCTCACATGGATGTTTCTCTCTTTCTCTCTCTCCCTCCTTCCCACTCTATTTGAAGATAAATGGGAAAGTATCCTCGGGAAAGGATAAAAAAAAGAAAAAAAAGGAATACTTTAGCCCTGGCTGGTTTGGCTCAGTAGTTAGAGCATCACCCCATGGAGTGAAGGGTGGTGGGTTTGGTTTCTGGTCAAAGCCATGTACCTGGGTTGCAGTTTCGATCCCCGGCTCCAGTCAGGGTGGTGCGGGAGGCAACCAATAGATGTGTCTCTCTCACATCAATGTTTCTCTCTGTCTCTCTGTCTCTCTCTCTCTCCCTCTCTCTGTCTCTCTCCCTCCCTCCCTTCCTTTCCTTCCACTCCCTTTAAAAATCAATGGAAAAAATATCCTTTGGTGAGGAGTAACAAAAAAAGAAATACTTGAAGAGAAATAGAGAATGAATTTGAGGTAAATATTATCACAGAAGGAAAGTAGGAAGAAAATGGGCAACATGCACATGTACAAATGCTCCCCTTACAAGAGGGGATACAGAAAGTCTTCCCACCTGAGTAAGGATGGATGAAAGTCCAACAGGGAAGCCACATGAAAGACAAACATCACCCTTCTCAAACACAGACTGACTCATGTTTCTAGGAGATATGTCCAAATATCATTCCCGTCTAGAATCTGTTCCTCCTGAGGGTTGTTGCTCTCTTGGTGTTCACAGATACACAGGCCCTAGATGAAGCATTTCTCACAGTCCCAATGCCATTGGGAGGTCACATAGTGTGTGGCTGCTATCCTGCTCCTGGAGAAAAGCTCATCATGAAAGAGGATGGAGGGCAACACACATTCCATAAGATGGGCTGATACTATGATTTTTCAAGCTTTTGATGATAGGTAAGTATGGGTTTAATTGCTGTAAGCTTACCATGTCTAACATGTACTAACCACAGTGCAGCGTTCTCAGGGGTGAAAACCATAAGGCTGTTCCCAGTGCTCCAAAACAAACTGGAAAAACTATGGTGACACTTATAAAATTAAAGAACCTCAGACTTTTATTCAAGAGAAATAAAATGTCAATTTAATACATGAAACTTTATTATGGAAAAGCCATTTGACTCTAGGTAGGGTCCATGAAGGCTTGAACTGTGTCTGTATGGTTTTTTTTTTTATCCTCATCCAAGGACATTTTTGCATTTCAGATAGAGAGGGAGGGAGAGAGGGAGGAAGAGAGAGAGAGAAACATCGATGTGATAGAGATACATCGACTGGCTGCCACCCACACAATCCCAACCGGGGCCGGGGACAAACTGCAGCAGAGGTACGCGCCCTTAGCGGGAACAGAACCCAGGTCTCTCTAGTCTGTAAGCCGTGTGTCTGTCTCTTTTTTTCAACATATTTTCATTCCTTGACCCCAATAAGGAATGAATATTGTATAAAATATGTTTTCCCTAAAATCTAAGGGAAGGGATGACCCTTACCCAGTGAGGCTAGGTTCCAGAAGGTCTCCAACATCACATCTCTGAAGAGCTTCCTCTGAGCACCATCCAGCAGAGCCCACTCTTCCCGGGTGAAGTTCACAGCCACATCCGAAAAGAATACTGAATTCTGAAACATCCCACACATTCTATTTCAACAAGGCACCTCTTCACCAATATGTGGAGGAAAATGGGCAGGCCCATAGTCAGGAACCCGGATTCAATTCCTTGGGCTCATGAGCTCATATTTTCATGGAAAATGACAATAATCAAGCAAACAAAATGTAGTACACTCAGTGATGGTAAGTGCTTGGAACCTTGAAGCAAAGTTTGACAACAACTGATATGAATTTATACACACATAATTAAAAGGATTTTTTTCTTTATTGATTTTAAAGAGAGAGGAAGGGAGAGGGAGAGAGATAGAAACATTGATAAGCGAGAACATTGACTGGCCACTTCCTGCATGCCCCACACTGGAGATCGGGCTCACAACCTGAGCATGTGCCCTGACTGGGAATCAAATCAGCGACCTTTTGGTGCATGGGTCGATACTCAACCATTGAGTTACACCGCCACGCTAAAAGGATTTTAATAAGATAGGGCAGATTCTGCAGTAAGCTAAAGACTGAAAAATAAAATTATTATCAGATAACATGGAAATGGATACTTAACTTGCTCAAAAGTTATTTCCTTGTGAACTCTTAAGACCTGAAACCAGAATGTCAGCATGTCATGAACACAGATTTCCAGTGCTCTTTGACCTTAACAATTCTTGCCTTGTAAGTCAACAGCATCAAGAAGCCTGATCTAGTCCTCTCACATTCGATAATGGTAGAGACAAGACCCCTTCCAGGATGAAGTGGACACTGTGGTCACTGACATAGGCCAGGGCCCAGGGCCTGGCACACCTGTTGGGTAAGAGGAGAGCCAGGTTCTTAAATAATCTCACAGGCCAGCAGAGCTTCTCAGATAAACAATGGAGTGCTTGAATTTAAGAAAAATGGCCATTCAAAGAAGAGTCACTGAGGGATCTGAAGGTAAGAGAGTCAAGTGTCATTTTATTTATTTATTTATTTATTTATTTATTTATTTATTTATTTATTTTTATCCTCACCCGAGGACATTTTTCCATTTTTTTGTTCAGGTAGAGTGGGAGGGAGAGAGAGGAAGAGAGAGAGAGAAACATTGACATGAAAGGGCCACATTGAGTGGTTGCCACCCACATGACCCAACCAGGGCCAGGGACAAACTGCAACCAAGGTACATGCCCTTAGCGGGAACCGAACCCGCGTCTCTCTGGATCACAGGCCTATGCTCTAACCGCTGAGCCAAACTGTCCAGGGCCCTAGTTACTATCTTTAAAACAATATTGAATAACACTGAATTCATGAAATAAAGAACCAACAATTATAAAAAGAATCATATCGTTGAAGATAAAAATATGTTCTAAAAATATAAAGAAAGAAATCCCCCAAACTTCCATTACAGCAAAAACGCTACCTCAACTAGGGTAGCAACTAGGCTTTGCTAACCACACACCTGATACGAGCCTTCTGTTCTAAATAGAGTTACAAAAACTCATATGAGAATAATAAAAAATTAAAAATTACAATATAAAGACAAATGATACAACTAAATAATGGGCAAAGAATGTGAGTAGACAACTTTCCAAAGAAGAAATACAAATGGCCAATCAGCATATGAAAGATGCTAGACATTACTCATCAGGAAAATGCAAATCAAAACTAAATTGGATAGCTGCTCACCTACTAGGATGGCTATGAAGATAAGACAAGTGCTGGCAAGATTGTGAGGAAAGTCAGAAACCTCACACACAGCTTAAGGGAACTAAAGTGTTAAAGCTACTTTGGAAAACAGCCTGGCAGGTCCTTAAAATGATAAACATGATTATAACACAGCAATTCCACTTTAGGTGTCTACATGCTCAGGAGAAGTAAAAAAATATCAACACAAAAACTAATACACAGATATTCACAGCAGTGTGAATCATAATAGCCACAAAGTGGAAACAACTCAAAAGTCCATCAAGTGACTTGGATAAGTAAAATGTGGGCATATTCATGCAATGAAATTTATTTGGCGATAAGAGGAATGAAGTTCTGATTCATGGCACAAAATCAATGACCTGTAAATACATTATTACCAGGCTTCACAAAGACTACGGATAGTGTTGTATCATTTACATAAAATGTACAGAAGCCTATCTATAGAGACAGAAAATAGATGAAGCATGGGAGGAATGTGGTGCAGATTGGATGCGAAAAGACTGCCAGTAGACACAGGTTTCTTTATGGGGTGATAAAAATGTTTCATATGAGAAAATGGGGATGGTGGTTCAATTCTGTAAATGAATGAAATACAGTTAAGTTAAACGGGTACATTTAAAAATGGTACTTAAGCCCTGGCCAGTTTGGCTCAGCGGTTAGAGCGTTGGCCTGCAGTCCAGAGAGACCCCGGTTTGGTTCCCACTAAGGGCACGTACCTCGGTTGCAGTTTGTCCCCAGCCCTGGTTGGGTAGTGTGGATGGCAGCCACTCGATGTGTCCCTTTCACGTCGTCATTTCTCTCTCTCTCTCTCTCCCTCCCACTCTATCTGAACAAAAAATGGAAAAATGTCCTCAGCTGAGGATAAAAATAAATAAATAAATAAATAAATAAATAAATAAATAAATAAATAAATAAAAATGGTACTTAAATTATATCTCAATGCTGTTGAAAAATAGGTTTGGCAAGCTAAAAATATATTCTTCTCAAACTAATGGCAATTTTTCTTCAAAAACAATAGAATCCAGGACTATAAAGGAAAGTGTGAAAAGAAACAATTCAATTCTAGTAACATTAAGAGTTCATTTACCAGCACAGAATAAAGACAATGAAAGGACAAACCACATTTGAAAAACTATGTACAGTATCTGCACATATAAAGGGGATTCCTGCCCAGAGGATCTAAGAAAACATTAGACATCAATAAACATGGAAATGAAGTAACGGTGACCAAAAGACTGAAAACTAACTGACAGAAGATGGACTACATGGTCTGCCTCAGTGATGATCAGTAAAAACCATGGACAAAAATTAAGTTAGATAATTTAAGTGGTGGCAATCACGTGGAGAAAATGAACACACAGGAACAGACGGCGCGTGTGTTTTGTTTACTCCTCTCTATAACTTCTAGCCCAACTGTTGAGACTCCCAGATCGCAGGGCGTTCTCCCTACTGCACAGCCCCCGCCCGAGCGCACCGTCCCTTCTCCCCCACTCTTTGGGATAATTCTTTTGAGTGAAACTCTCTCGTTACAGAGCTTGGATTTTTTCATTTTCCACGGGCTTGACCAAGTGTTCACATTTTCCCATCTTTTATTCAAGCTTGATTTAGGCTCTGTTCTCCTCACCGGCCCCGACATTGTCCCCACCCGGTTTGAACAAGCACCGAGATGTAGGCAAGGCCCCGCTTACCTGAGCCGAAAAATGACTGAGCACAGGGAGGCCCTTCCTGTCACACCGCCTTCCTGCTCACCCTCTTTCCACATAAAAGAAACGCCCTGTTCTGTCGGATCTGAGGCGCGGGCACGACTGAGATCTCAGACTTGTCCCTATTGCAACAGGTGCCCCTCCATCCCCAGCCCCCAGCCCCTGACAGCCGGCGCTGGTGACCGTTCGTCCTCCGTCCGCACCACAGCCAGAAGCGGACTCCGGTCGGACCCCGGTCGGACCCCGGGACCCCCACGCGGGGACGGGATTGGGCTCCGGGACCCCCTCTGCGGCCGAGGGCGGAGACTGGAGTAGGGACCTCCGGGGGACGCAGGGGGACGCGGCTCAAGCCGCTTCCTTTCGCGTCGGGGCGGTCGTAGGAACCAGCCCCTCCCGGAATCGGGCCGGGACCAGAGCGCTCACCATCTCAGGACTCTCCAGAGCGTCCCCCGGCGGCTCCGCAGGCTGGGCAGGTGAGAGCGACGGGGACAGGTAACCAGGGGCCCCGCGGAGCAGGTACCTGCCGGGGCCCGCGTCACACTGAGGGGCGTCGAACGAAGTCAGTGAGAGGACCTACCCCGTGCCCTGATTGGACCGTGTTTCAGGTTCCCGCCTCCTGATTGGACGGGACTCCTCACTGAAGGGAAAAACGTCCAGGCTTTCCAACCGTCCCCTGAGGGGCAGTTCACCCGCCCCGCCACCGCGCTACCCGGCTGTCCCCGCCTCTATATTCCGGTAGGACCGTTACACTCTGAACCTGGATGATGGGCAGAGACCGACATCACGTGACCGAGCCGGGCGGAAATGCTCGTTCTGGGCCCCAGTCCTTTCCTGCCTGCCCGCCTGAACGTCAGCTCCGAGCAGACTCGCTGTCTCAGGTGGGACTGCGTCGGCCCACAGGTCAGGCGGCCCCGCCTGAGCGCTCCTCCTGGAGCGGGAAGTCCCCACTCAGTTTTCCAAGGAGCATCCCCTGCTCGGAGCTGGGACAGGACAGGACTGGACAGAATGTCCTACTGACCTGTGCAGTCAGGGGCCGGTCCAGGGGCAAGTTCAGCCTGCTTCTGTGCTTTTAAAGAACGATAACACTCATCAGTGGCGTCAACAAGTGCAACAGAGAGTCCGTACAGGTTTTGACGTATGACTTTTGACACTGGGAGGTCCCCACCCTCCCTCTATGCCCCCAAATGGGGTGTAAGGTAGATGACCACCGTCCTTTGCCCAGTTTAAAGGGCGACCAAGCGGCCCCGGTCGTGCACAGGACTCCCCCTGGCACAGACACAGGTGTGAGATGTTAGAATTCTCAGGTGTGCATTTTGCTGCAAGGAAATTTATGTCGGATCAGGTTTTTAGTCAGTCCCCAAAGAATTTTGAAATGTAGAAGGTTGTATTTCCTAATAGATTATATAGTGCTGTTGCACAGCTTTGTGAATGTAGAAACACCACTGAGTGTTATGCTTAAAACTGTGAATATCAGGATATGTTAATTATATCTCCATTTAAAACAAATTTGAAGGCCATAATAGCCACGATAACCCTACCCCAAGGCCACCACTAAAATATTTTGTCTCTATGGATTTGACTACTCTGGATATTTTATATAAACGGTGTGGACCAAAAGGGGCCACATACTGAACCTGACAAGTTCAGGGGAGGTCTTCATGGCTGGCCTGACAAATTCAGAGACCAAAAGTAACCACATAGGATGGTCTGAAATGAAAACTTTCTAACTAAAAGCAGGTCATGGTGGGCAGTCATGCCCTAGGCTAGAATCTTCCCTGACAAAGACCCATCTTTACCTGAGCCTATCTGC